GGGTATCCTTAGGGCCAAGGGGATTCTGTTTTAGTTATTGATGTCCCTATGGTGGTAGAGCTGTTGTTCTCAGTGAGGCTATTATATGGTGTCTGAAGTATGGCTTAACGAACATAAGATTTGAAGGAGAGCAAAGTGATCATTGATAAAATCAATCAGGCGGATACTAGAGACAACGGATGAGTGTTGTTCTTGAGAAATCATCCATTATTTTGTCATCCATTCGGGGTTAGTGTTCGATTTGTAGATCGCCGTAGTAATAGGATAGCCCATTCCGTGGCTAGAAAAGCCCTCTTTTTGTACCCGACTACGAGTCGTTTCTTTGATTTTCGCACCTGGCTGAGTTCCAGGGTGTAAGTATCTATTCGTTTGAATCAATATATGATTAACTTTGTATAAAAAAAGTGTGAAATATGTTTGATTGTGAGATGAGATTGATCACATTACTTGAAAAATAGTTATGTACGTTGAATATAAATGAACATGTGTGAATAATGTGTAAATTTACATGAAAATATAGGATTTGTGTGTGATTTCGTGCATAGTGGACAAGAGACACTACAAGAAAGCAGCTCGTTAGCGACGGTTTTCTTGCCATTTAACGACGGTCGAAACCGTTGCAAAAAACTTTAACGACGGACAGGCGACTGTCATTGACCCAGCAGTCCTTAAATTAGTTTGCGACGCATGTGGACGACCGTCGTATCACCGTCGGTAAATTTTAACGACGGTCACGACCGTTACTAATTTAAAAATGACTGTCACTATATGTATCACTCGAAAGGTTTGTTTCAGGGATTAGCTACGTTCAAAACCGTCGCTAAATTAAATACATGTGTCACTAAAATGCTTGCTTTTCCAAGTAGTACCTGTGACCTAGTCCAATCAACTAGAACTAAATCAATAGTAATTTGAGCAAAATTAACCAACAAAATCACACAAATCTAGTTTTGGAAAGCTTCATATTAATAAAAATCATCAATCCTCAACCAAAAATCCCTTGAACATTCTAAAGTTTAACATTCTCATGTATATGAACTAATGTTCCTTGTGAAAGTTCAAAACCTCTTTGTCGTCCTTCTTGCAAACACACCAGCCCCTCTTACAGCATACCAGAATCTAGCACTGCATCTCACAAACAAAAGAATCCCGCACTGCAAGGAAACACGAAGCAAATCAGAGATAATAACCACGGAAACAGAATGCAAGTACTAAAACAACGGTGTGTAAAATACTTCACAAGCTAGGATTATTAAGCTGATGAGGTCTTATGATATCAAAAGAACAATTAAACAAACAGCTAGTCAATTAAACAAACTTTTCTTAAGGGGCAGAGAAACAATTTGAAAGTAGTACAAGAGAGTCCCCAGAAGGAACCATAGTGACGCTATGCAGGCTTGATAGCCACAACAGACCGGGAAAACACAACATTTAGGAACTATAACTTCAACTTTGGCACAGGTTTCAATCAATGATAGGTCTGTCCAGATTACACTACAATGAGACCGAGCAACTTGCATTTGACCCACAACCAAGACTAGCATTCCCAAAATAAGCAAGCTTGACGACTAACACAAAGGATACGTGGAATGCCAAAATGTGAAGAAGAATGCCTCTCCTTCGTCCTTAACAAACCAACTTCCTAACGTTACAAGAGAAATTCTCAGTTCATATATTAAATTTCTACGAATGACAGCAGTTACCCCTTTTGATAATTCTTGATAGTTTGACATTTAATGTAACAAGATAGAAACTAACCTCATGTCTGAAAATCTCTGCTCCCAGCGTCACTATGTTTC